GAGCCAGTGCAAAGCCAAGGTCATTTCTTATTAGACTTCCCACCCTTCTGCTGAGGAAGAGCAACGCCTAGTATCACTTCTGTGAGAATCTGCCAGCTACCCTGAACCTCTTAACTCCTCAGAACTCCTCAGACCTGCCCCCTGTGTGACCTCTGTTTATTCTGTTTATCGAAGCCCACAGTTTGCAATCATTTTCCTCTTCTGTGGATCAGTTATTCTATCTGTTCAACTCACAGCCAGCTCTCCTCCAGGTTTCCCTTCACCTTTGCATTTTCTCTTAGATCATTCATGGTTACATTCCAGCCCAGAAGACCCTCCAGCTAAATGGCTTTTTCCTGTTTATGAAACTAAAGCCATGACCATATGTTCTAATAACCTACTAAAAAGCAGCCTTTCCAATCAGCAATCTGTGTGCTTGTGCTCGTGATCCTTCCGCTTTTAATCATTCCCAGAGTAATGATTTTCAATAATTCCTGACTTTTATGAGAGGATAAGATTCTTCCTCCTGTTCTGGAACTCAGAACAAGTGAATATACTCTTGACGTACAAATTTCTTTTTGAAAAGCATTCCAGTCACATGAAACCAAGAGTTTGTAATGACAGGCAGGAAGAAATCCTTCTGCCTCATGGCAGCTGATATGACTGTGACTATTGTAAAGTTAAGGCTCAGACCTCAGTTTGTCACTGACCAGCTGTGATAGGAGATGATTCCTTCCTGACCCTCTTGACAGGTTGTTCTACAGACCTTCCAAGGTATCCACTATAGGGAATAAGCCAAAAGCATCCCGTTAATGTCATGGTTTTCATGTATGTACYGACATTGCTTGTCTTTAAATCCAGGTGTACACCTGTCCTACCTTCATCCCCAACGCACTGCAGCACCTCCTCTTGTTACAGAATAATCTGTAATAATTCAAATACTGATTGGTCTTTGCTCTTGGCTGCAGCCAAATCAAAGAGCAATAATTCAGATGTCATTTCCCATCCAACCAAGTGCCCTGAGAACAAGGACAGCTACAAGGGAATGGAAGATGATGCACAGAGGAGCTGATGAGTGTGCAGCCAGATATCTAAAAGGCGATAAATCGCAACCCCTGCTCAGACTGACGGGAGCTGCCGGCGTTTATCTAAGTCAAAAATATATGTACATCACTTACGTGCACATACTCCTATTTCGTACCTAGGTCTGTCTCGGCTGTAGTCGCAGTACAAGCCCCTGTGGAAGTCGCAGGTGTCGGCCTCGGTGCAGCTCTCCCCGCGCTGTTTGGCGCACGTCTTGCAGCACTCACAGCCATCTGTGACCAGGCTGACACCGACAGAGCACCGTGGCGGGGACTTGGGGCACTCGCAGGGCCACTTGCAGTACTGGGTCCGTGTGTAGGTCTCTGTCGTGGCTGGGACGGTGCTGTTCATGCTGGGGGAGGTCTGGGCAGTGGCCTGCAAGCAAAGAAACACAGCTTGGAGAGCGTTACAGAGAAATGGGGGCTGCAAACCCTGTGCTGCATAATCCTCGGTTAAAAACCCCTCAGGTATACAGAGTAAAATATAATCCAACAAAGCAGCCTGTAAGTTAATTCAAAATATGATAATCAGATAAAAAACCTGATCAAGGTAAATCAAGGCTGAAAAGGGATTTCATGTAGCACAGTGATGCAGTTCCAGTCACCATTACTGAGATCACGGAGTACTGGGACATTGTAGTTCATATCAAAACCCACAGAAGGTGGTGGTGATGGGCGGAGGGGTCATTGCCTTCTGCTCTCTCAAGTCCCTGCAGAGCAAACTCTGGATATTTAACAGCACCAGCCAYATCTGTGGTGCAGGAAGGGTGCAAATCAGCCCAGTGACAAAGGAAACATTTCACTTTTCTAATGGGATCAYTGCGCAAAAACCTGTGCTGTACATGGAGGTGAAGCAGGGCACAGTATCTCAGGCACAGAAACAAATGAATAAAAAAGATTCACATACTGTCAACAGCAGACAGAACATGGCCCTGCTTGGGCATGTGGTGTAGAAGCCCTTTTTAGACCTGCAAAAAGTGTGTAACCCTGAAAACTTCAGACAAGGAAAGTCAGGCTCTAGAAATTGCTAAGGTAATTCCATCCATTGCTGCCTTCCTTGTACTGTACTTTATAWCCCCACTGTTTTGTCCTCTTTGAAGTTTGAGATGTCTCAAATAAAAGRCTTTCCAACAATGCAACATGAAGAAAACGCCTCACCCAAGATTTTATGGGAAAAAGCATTCCCAAGACTTAGAACCCCACAAGTGGTGAGCTGTCCATTAAGATACCTCTGCAAAGACTCTTTACTGTCTTTGCACAGTTTCTTTGTTAGCAGGCTCAGATTTTATTGAAGTACATTTCTAAACCCACTACTGCTGTATCTGAAGGTGTAYTTAAATATCTTGGTAATTGGTTATCCTATATTTAGGGCACTAAATTGTGAACACATTGCTAATCACTGCCAAATAGACAATGTGTTTGCTCTGGGCATAAWTCCCAATTCCATTAAGGCCCCTTTTACAAACAGTTGGCCTAAACATTGGCTTAAAAACACCTTTAAACTCATGTTTAAACTAAAACATACCAATACAATTTATTCCCACTTAAAGGCTCCTTGATGCTGTCAGAGTTGTTAAAAGAGGAACATTCAGATCAATGAAAAGCCCTGGCCTTTTAATCATAGGATTTTTATTCCACTCATAACCATTTGAGCAGGTGCAATAATCTGCCACTTGAGAAGAAAAGCCTCCTCAAGTGCAATAAATCTATTTACTTTGTTGYTGATCATTAAAAAAGTGCTTAATAATCAAATCCAGATACACAGACAAAAGTCACAGAGCTATTTAAAGAGCTCATTGCCACAGCCCAACCCTGTAAGTAAATCCTTTCACCGTCCCTTGTTTCCATTGYCACCAGGAGCAAGCAAACAGCTTCTCCCTGTGCAGATATGAAAGAGTCTGTGAGCCAACACTCGGAGCAAAGAGGAGTTCTGATACTCCTGTGGGTTTATTTAACATGTGAAGGGCTGAGGCTGAGTTCTTCTAAAGCACAGAATAGCTGGGAGACATTTGGTGGCTCATGATAGACAGGAGTTTAGAGTAAATCATTTCACAGCCCTTCCTCTAGGTCTGAAACCTGAGCTGRCCAGGGAAGCCTTTCCAGTGTCCATCCTTCCAGATGAACTGTTGTATTTCTTGGGTGTGCTGGCTGAAATGTCCAGAGGTGTGGCTGAGTCCCTTGGAAGGATGCAGCATGGGCTACAGAAGCATCTTCAGGTAATCAGTGTGGACAGGCATCAAAGCACTGTGATCACACAGTACTGATCACACATCAAAATACTGGCACTGCTGTGTTCTACAGACAGGGAAGGTGTGGAGTGATGGAATTGGCATCACATCCTAGGCTCCATCACTGCCTAAACAAAACCCAGCCTTTGGAAACTGTTGTCCACTGGACCCTTCAAAAATGCACAACCTGTACAGCTTCCAGGCTTTCATCCTCTCCCCTCCTAAATCCCTCAGAACCTCAAAGTGGGAGAAACAATTCTGTAGATTTATGAAATTATTTGCTTTCCTGTTTCCATGGTCAGCTGTCATCACTGGAATACCTAAGAGCCTTTGTAAAAGTCATTCAGCCCTACCACTTCAATGTCCCAGAATATTTTAGAAAATAGAAACTTCCTTATTAATCARTATGTTGGTTAAATTATCATGGCTAATGCTTTCCACAAATGCCATCAACAGGAAATCACGCTGTAATGGCCTTCCCCAGTAGGCATCCTTAACTAGAAAAAAACACCAAAAAAAAAAAAAAAATCTGCTTACATAATTTAACATTTCAGGAATCATGTTTTTAGGGTCAATATAATGCATAAGAGGACAACGATTTTGTAACAGATCTGAAATAAGAGCAAAGAGCAAAACAAACACCAAAGTCACGGTAGTGGGGATTTGACAAGTTTGTTTTAAAATGTCAGAAAGATAAAAGAATGTGCCTGTTAGGAAATTTATTTTCCCAAGTACTGGTAATTAACCTGTTTCATTTAATTATTCTTCAATCTTGGAGTCTGCACATTTGTTATCTTGGATGCCAAGGAGAAAATATTCCATCAAAATTATTCACGAGTTCTAATTTTTCTGCTTTTGGAGGTAYATGCCCATTCTCATTAAAACAAGATGAAGCTTTTCTCACCCTGCCATGCCTGATAACTGTCTATTAAAGTCACTCCTGATTTGTGCTTGACAACCTCCAAAATTACTTTATTTTTGCACCTGCAGAACATATTGCTAACAACTTCCAGCTAATTTCTGTCTTCACATTCAAGAGGAGAGGAGGAGAAAATAAAAAATTACTCACTCTGCCATAGCCACAAATTCAGTATTTTTAATAACCAGGAGTCTTACTATCCAAGTTTCAAGATACAAAATGGATAGCAGCATTTTAGCAGCACATTCTTTCTACTGGCAAAGTATATTTTCAATCTATTGAAAAAAACTACTTTTAAGTATGTTTTAGTTTTGAAAACTAGAAAACTTAAGCTTTAGTGCTGAAATTAGTGTACAGAGCCCAAACTACAAGCCAGGCACATTTATTGCAGCACATTTACATAASACATGAGGAGCCTCCGCCTTTGCTTTGAAGCAGCAAAGAATCACAATATACTCCTTTGCTTCTGGTTTTTACAGATGTTTAAAAATATATTCGTGGGCATTGATTTTATTGTTTCAGTGCTGCAAGACCTTACTCTTAAAACCTTTTTTCTTTCAAGTATTTTTCTTATCAGCWAGGTGAAGGCAGGAAGAAGCTAGGTGAAGGTAGTTTATTGATTGGAAATGTTCAGAAAGGATGGTGACTTCTAAATTGGGTTCCTTTAACTATCAACAGAGCTGGAGAAATGGTCCCACAGTAGCAAAAACCTTAGCATTTTATCACCTCCTTCTGCGTTCTCCTTGATGGTAATTTGACCTCAAAGGAGAATTTTTTATTTCACACAGAGCTGCCCAAGCTGTGTTTTGGAGGATACATGCTGTTGGGCAGACTACAATGGTAGAAAACATTAAAGAAATATTTTTAACCTACATTCTGGTACTGCCTTTCTGAGCAAATGCCAGATGTCGTTGATGGAAGGATATGATGTGATCTGGATTATCCCTCTGTTCTCTCTCTCTGAYATTTTCACTAGTGAAAATGATTAGTGAGTAAATTTTATTAAAACATTCTYCTTACTACTAAGGTCTGACAACGTCATCCTGTCAGTGTTTAAAAATAGCTCCAGATTTGGAGTTTGACTGTTCTAAACAGGAACACTGAAGTTAAAGCCGCAATTTTAAGCAGACACCTTGGATGCATCTCCTTAGGAAGGGTYCAGCATTTGTACATAACACACATCTGCTTTCCCCTGGTTCCACCTACTGGCCGAACTATTGAGACAGCAMAAGCAGAAATGCCTGTAGGGCCAAYTSTAGTTCAGGGACCRCCCTAAATATTCCCATTATCCAAAATTATTTTAAAGGCACCCCAGGAGACTCCACATGCACATTCCCAAAGTTGCTAACACTAACCTGATGTAGCGCATTCCCAGGGGARCACAGCATCTGGAGCTCAATAAATAAGTAAAAAATGAAAAGACAAAATTAAATATAAATAATCCATTAAATGAAGCTACATACCCTTTCATYCCTCAGTTGTATTTCTGGGCAAGGATCGAGATTTCTTAGTTTCATCCCAGAACTGACAGAAGTTAAAAACTCGTAATTCTAGTCACAGAGAAGGCAATGTAAAACAGGACCTGGCTTATATCAGTGGGCTTAAATCAGGCCCTCAGGGTAGAAGTTTGTTCTTGATTTTGCTCAGTTGAAACTTCTGTGCTGAATATTTCTGAATTTTTGCTTTATTATTATACCCAAAACAGATGTGTTAACAGAGAGCCAGTTCTTAYAGAGAGATCAGCAGTAATCACAGTATCATCAGGACTTCCTCACTGTTAAACTCTTGCAACAAATCCCTAAGTCCCCATGAATGCTCATAAACTGTCACAAGTTAATGCTAAGGACAAGTAGCATCAGGACAGAGTTATAAATCAGATTCTGCAGATTTTAATGGTCAGAGAAAAATACTACTATCCAGGGCTCAGCTTCCCCAGAGCATGCATGAGGTTCTAGATACCTCATTAAAAGTAATTCCAGACATGAAATCTCCAGGACACGTTGTGAAATAGCAGACTCTGAACCCAGAAAATATAAGACAGTTTTGAAGATGTCAGGTGCCAGCTGGATTTATTTTTACTGTGGATGGTAGGTTGAGCAGAAAGGAACGTTTTGCATGAAGCAAAACATTCAATAGCCTAAGAAAATAAAATATMCCCAGTGAGACAATCATTATATATCTGTGGATCCATGAATGATGAACAATCAGCTTCCCATAACTTTATTTTGG